GATCCTTTCAAAATTCAAAAGTTCCCACACATTCTGGAAATTCGGTAAAAGAAAGTACACTTGTACTGAATAGAGGAATAAAATGTTTCAATTGCCAAGGAAATCACTACCTGAAAAACTGTACCAAACCAAGGATAGAATGCTTTAAATGTAAGAAATTTGGCCACAAACAAGATAAGTGTCCATCTTAATTATGACTAGAGCACACAATAAAAAATTGTCAGTAGCTTCGAGTACCTACATTATGGAGTATAGAAGAAGTTCGTCTAGTGACTTAGAGTTTCTAGAAGAATGTGCTGCTACGGCTCTGATTTTACAAGACAAAAAAAAAAAGAAGATTCCGGGTGCACAAAATAAACAGGAATCGAGAGAAATATGGTGCTTTCCATGTATTAATGATGGAGCTGGAGGCAGATCGTAGTTGATGCCATAGGTATGTACTTCCGTATGGAGAGAGAACAATTTGATTATTTACACAATCTTGTGAAAGACAAGATTAAAAAGCAGGAATTCGTACTGCCGTACCTTTTTTATTCAAAATTCCTGCTGCATTTTTCTGTACGACTATTTGCGACGCCACAAAATATTGAAAATATACAGAAACAGATTGCGGCGGGGTTAGACAGGCGGCCCGGAAACATCTACACGTGCCAACACGCGTGGGCATCATCTGAGGATTTGAAATCGAAATCGTCACACGTCGGATGGCGTGGCGTGCCATAGCGTGGTATCGCGTGTGACAAGTTTATACGCGGTACATGTAAATAGATGAAAGAATATACGCATACATTTTCGTCCTATGACGTGGCGTGGTATAGCATGGCGTGGCGTGTTGCTAATGGGTTTCCGCCTTTACTTTGTTCGTAAAAAAGAAGACAAACGACTATCGTATGTGTGTAGATTAAAGGCGTCTGAATGCAATCACATTTAAGGACAAATACCCATTACCATTAATAGATGAACAGATAGATAGATTAGGTGGAAATACCTATTTTACAGGGTTGGCCTTGACCTCAGCATTTTATCAGGTTGCGATGGCTAGTAATTCAACTGCTAAAACTGCATTTGTAACACCCGACTCACATTATGAATTTCTGCGTATGCCGTTCGGTCTAACCAATTCTCCAGCTAATTTCCAGCGCCTCATGAACAATGAACTAGGAAAATTGAAGAACCATATAGCTTTTCCTTACTTAGATGACGTTATTATCCCATCGAAAACTGTAGAAGTAGTAGTAAATATTTAACGTCAGGTTTTGGAAAAGCTAAGAGAACATAACTTAACCCTAAAGTTATCAAAATGCTATTTTTTTAAGACTGAGATCATTTATTTGGGTCGAGAAATAAGTGCTCAAGGAGTGCGTCCAAGTCCATTGAAAATTGAGGCTGTATCGAAAATGACACACCCCACTACAGTGAAAGAAGTTTGTCAGTTTATAGGACTGGCAAGCTATTTTCGAAAATTTTTCGAAGACTTTGCTAGGATAGCAGAACCCATAACTAAACTTACCCGTAAAAACATATCCTGGCACTGGGGTGAAAAACAAAGGAAAGCGTTCGAAACCATTAAGGAAATGTTAACATCCAGACCACTGTTAAGAATATACTACCTACAGAATTACATACTGACGCGAGTTCAATCGGCTTTGGTGCTATTCTCATGCAAGTTGAAAACGGGAAGACCCAACCAGTAGCATACTACAGCCGTCAAACCAGGATTGACCAGAAACAATATCACTCCTATGAGTTGGAGACGATGGCCGTAGTGCAAGCATTGAAACATTTTCGAGTCTATTTGCTGGGACTCAAGTTTACAGTAGTCACCGACTGTAACGCGCTAAGAACAACATTTGCGGAGAAAGAACTAATATCCAGGGTTGCCAGATGGTGGCTCTGTGTACAAGAGTACTCTTTTGAAATTGAATATAAGCCCGGTAAAAATATGTCTCATGTCGATGCATTGAGTTGATATCATCACTGAGAGTGATTGGATTTTAGCGGCTCAATTACAAGACGAGCGATTGTTACGTATCCGTGAAATTTTAAAATCAACTGATAATGATTCCGAGATAGTACAAGGATGAATATGAACTTAGAAATGAAAAATTATTCCGAAAATTTCCCAATGGAAAAAGACTGTGGGTAGTCCTTAGGAACGCAAGGTGGCAAATATGTAATTTATGTCATGATAAAAATGGCCATACCGGTATTGAACAAACTTTGAATAGAATAAGAACTTATTGTTGGTTTTCTAAAGTGCGACGCTTTGTAACGAAATACATTCGTGCCTGTTGGAATTGTGCTTATTACAAAGATACCACAAGAAAAACGGTGGGCAAACTTCATCCAATAGAAAAGATAGCAGTACCATTCCACACAGTACACATAGACCACTGTGAACCATTTGAGAAGACTTCCAGAGGTAACACTGTTTTTTTTTCTTGGTTGATGCGTTCACAAAATTTAAAATTATAGAACCATTGAAATCCACGAAAGTGAAACACGTCTGTTCGGTGTTCCTAGCAGAATAATAAGTGATAGAGGAAGCGCATTTACTTCAAGTACTTTTAAACAGTTTTGTGAATCGTACTCGATAAAACATGTTCTCAATGCGGTTGCATGTCCAAGAGCACATGGACAATGCGGTTGCATGTCCAAGAACACATGGACAATGCGAGAGGTATAACAGGACAATACTGAATATGTTGGCAACCACTACCATAGAAGAAGATGGACGTTTATGGGATGAACATATCAAAAGGATTCAATCTGCCTTAAATACCACTTTTAACAAAGGCATTGACTGTACTCCAGCTCAGGCATTATTTGGATATCAGCCCAAGTCTACAGCAGATGCCCGGTTATTAAATGACATTTCAATCTACCTGGACCGGATAGACACTCATTGTTCAGAATTGGGTAATTCTTATTTATCGATATTAATAGGACTCCATCACAGAGTCAAGAATCGAGCGTTGAGTTTTTATAAACATATACCTTTTTGTGGGGTTTTGCGCGCTATACCTCACGATGGAGATACGAAACCTACGACAGTGTTAAAAAGTACAGCTCCAGTCGACGAGCGTCACGGTCTTTTACATCCGCGTTTTTTGGTGACACATTGAGAACAATCGATCTCAATGATTTCGGTTATCGGATGTACTTTCGCTCAATAATACTATCCGGAAGCTCATTTTTGGGAGCATCAAGAAACCCCGGCCGGGTAAGCTAGAATCCAGGACACAGAGGTGAGACCTTACCAATACCCATTTTTTAAAATCTTTATCGTGAGTCGTTTTTTCTTATTTTCAACTTATTTCAAAAATTAAGTTTGCCTGTTTCTATTAAAACAGGCACAGGCTGGTCCTAAACACTCATGATTTGAGAAAGAGAATTAAATACTATATTACTGAGGATCAGAGGAAGCAGAAAGAAAGGTTCGACAAAGCAAGGCAAGAGGCTAGAAGATAATATGCAGAGGGTGATTTGGTATTGATACTAATCACAAGTGAAGTTAACACGGGGAGTAGTAAAAAATTGAATCCAAAATTTAAGGGGCCTTTCAAGATTTCTTAGGTCCTTACTAATGATAGATATGAAGTAGAGGATTTGAGAGAAGGACGGCAATTTTTGAGGAAAACTATTGTTTGTCCGGATAAGATGAAGCCCTGGATTCAGGTGGTGAAATAGTGTATTTTGTGCGAATATAGTACAGGTTATTATCCTTGTCACAAAGAATTGTAGCTCTGGGTTTAGGGTTGTAACCCTGAGTAGAGTTGAAGTTCTATAAAAATTTAGGGTTGTAGCCCTGAGTAGAGTTGACGCTGTATAAAAATTTAGGGTTGAAGCCCTGAGTAGAGTAAAAGCTCTATGAAAGGTCGTAATCTTAGGTTTGGAGCTGTAGCCCAAAATAAAACGGCTGAAGCCGCTATGTATGTTGGTCACTGGATAATTGATTGACCCATGGGATTACATATTGCGTTTTGGAGTAGCTAAGTAGACTCAAGTACCTATATTATGTTGTTTCTATTCCAGGTTCTTGAATTTTCTTTATGTAGAGATATTTAGAAATGAACAATTCAAGAGCCGGCAATAAACAAAAATTTAGACAAAAAACTTTGATAATTGAAGAGCAGAAATTTAGGGAAAATTGAGTAGATAAGTAGACTTAAGTATGTTGTTTCTATTCCAGGCTTTTGAATTTTCTTTATGTAGAGATATTTGGAAGGAAAAGCGATTTTATCTCAATAAGTATAAGTCCAAATGAGCTGAAATTTTCCAGTACTCTAGTAGGATAAGAATCGCTGGAAATTTCAGCTTTCTATCTATGATAAAAAAAGGGTAAGATTTTTCAAAAATTCAAATCCAAAGGGAGATTGTTTCTTCTAAACTGGTCAAATATCAAATTTTTTTTTTTGGAAGATTTCAACTTTAAACATTTATTTGGTATTCCTGAAACTCCATACAGTGATTTATTGTAGGGATAATTCCTATCTGCACCAAACCAAGTAATTCATCCATTTTATTTATTTTTTCAAATAAAGTGTCTTTAAAATAAAACCAACAGATGTATGGAGAGCAATAACTCAACATTAGATGTCACAATTGAAATTTATTCGACTCCAAAACTCCCCTATAAGTGTATCTACGCCAATTTCATCGAAAAGTTACTGTTTACACAATATTCTATTATTCCACTGCAGACCATTATAGCCTTTTACTGTAGATAGTCCGAGATTTATTAGAGTGTTCGTTTGATTTATGCATAAGGGCTTTAAAAGTTTTCCAATTTAACTCTCCGACCTACGCCACTATATGCATAATGCAACAAGTCGGTTTCGTAAATCTGTTCCGAAAAATTGATTGAGATCTAAGTACTTGGGTTCACTTAAATTCTCATTAAAACCTTTATATAACGCGAAGTTATTATGAGAACTTCTTTATTTGAAAGTCAAAATAAAATAAGGTTTTTTAATGTAATTTTTTTTATATATTTTCAGGGTGTCAGTAGAAGTAGTTCAGGTCATTATGCCTGTGAAGCGACCAACGAAGAAGGTTCTTCAATAAGTCCAGCGTTTCATTTGCGTGTCAAATTCGAACCGATTTGTAAAGAAGGCATAGCTAGAAAAATTATTGGGGCTGCTAAGGATGAACCTGTTCAAGTAAAATGCAAGGTAAAAACCATTTTTTTTTTCCACCATAAATAACATATACAACTTTTCCGTCCAAAAGCCTTGAACTAACTTGTTGCTCTAAGTTTTTAGGATACATTGAGAACTTTAAGACGGTAAAGTTTTGCTTCGGTTATCAAACATGAGTTTATGATGGCTGTAAAATATATTTATAGAAAACAACACTATAAGTTATAGAATCAGGTCGGTATAGTTTGAAAACATATTCTGGGCAACAAAATGTTTATTTTATTCATTTAAAATGTAAGTAATTTATTTCAAACAGAAATTGTTTTAACGTTGAATATTCCAAATACAAAAAACACGAAATTCAGCATCCAGTAGGCATTTTATATGTTAAAAATGCTGAAAATAATTTACATACGTAGCCGATACACGCAATTTGAGCGCCAGAAATTCAATTAATTGTTTAAATATATATATAAATAGAGAGCTGGTTTAGTTTGAAACAATATTTTATACATTCACTTAACGGCTTAATTTTTCAAATGAAAAACCACCCGCTGTATGTTTTTGTGTATTGAATAAATTTATTATTTTATACACTTCTATTTTTTTGGAATAATCGATGAATGAAACGACAAAAACATTTTTGTTTCATGTTCAGCACCCTTGGCATTATTTTTCAAATATGTTATGCTAACGGTTTATACAATAAAGATAGAAAAAGTTGCGAAAATTCAGTCAAAATGACTGAAAGTCATAACAAAGGATTTACGAGCAAATAGGTTGGTAATTGACAATTCGTGAAAATAAGGTAGAAAAATAGTTTGACGATTTGACGATAAGTAGAAAAAACATACAGTAAATAGGATAATAAATTGACAATGGGAAATATGTTGAAACTGAAACCTCACCTGCTTTATAACTATAACGAACGACTTTACACTGTAAGCACCAGAATCAGTGACAGGAACTAAATGAATCCGGGGCGACGTGGGGCGTCTTTTATTTAGCGAAATTAGTGACGCTTTTAGTTTATCAGTTTTAAGACAGCCGACTGTTTCCAAGAAAATAGGGGTCAAGAGTCGTGTTTTTAAGATATAATCATCGTACTCTTTTAGAAACCGACTGATAACCCTTGGCTCTTGGTACGGTTTCGTCAGAAATTTGGCAATTTAATCTAACTGGTAAAAAAGCCAATTAATTGTATTACGAAGCAAAAAAAAAGGACTTTTAGGCCGGTTTGTTACAAATATTCGAAAGCGCATTCGTCAGCTGGAAACATTTTTTCTCATGATGAACTCAATGGTATGAGAATTGGAAGATTGTGTTCATTCAGTCACTGATTTCCTTATATGTTTATTCTTCAACAACTTATATTGGCTCCATCCAAAATTAACTGTCAATGGTCATAAAATCCAGCAACCCCATCTGTGTCTAAAAGTTTGGAACCAGCTCACAGATTTATATCCATATTTTCCGCACTAAGCCTGCACTTACACATACTTTACTTTACAACCGCATAGTTTTTTTTTAATTAGAATACTGCTTGTTATTTGGCATACCCAATGCTCCAACAGCATCTCGTCTTTATTTGTTTAGTTGTATTTTCAACATTAAATAATTCCAGTTACCGAACTTCATAATTACAAACAATATTCGGGTTACAATGGGCGCCTTTAGAGACGAGAATATTCCGCATACCTCTTCGCTAATTTATATAAATCAAATTTGAAGTACTTCAACAAACTACAAAGAAAATGTATTTATGCTTTTGTAATTTAAAGTTTTCAAAATCCTTTATGTAAATTATGTATTGTGAATTGGAAATTAATTTTCGCATTGTCTGTTCATTTATGAATGCACTTTCGAAAGCTTTTCCAGAAATAATTTGAATTAATAATACTCTATTTTGATATTATTATTAATAAACAAACTAAATGGCCATTAATAATTTGATCCGCTATACTCGCATTTCAAATATTAATATACTCAAAGTTAATTAATAAATATTATTAATATCGGGTCTTCAAAAAAAAAAAACAATCAAAGATTGCTATGGTTTTTTGAACGTATGTCTTAGCAATATTTTTCTTTAATTTTGACAATGTCAGTCAATTAAATTTAATGTCAAAATGTCATGTCAAAAATCTTGACCAATAAACAAACAGTAATGCGACGTACGTTTTCGTAACCAAAGCAATCTTTGATTGGTTTTTTTTTTTGAAGACCCGATATATTTAGTTGCATGAACGGTAATTTTCAAGTTAAATTATCATTTTTTCCAACTTGAAAGCGATGTAGTAATATTTTACGTTGGTATAATATTACCTGTGCCACTGTTTCTTCCGCGAGAGCCATTATCCTTATTTTTCTTTCTGATGAGAATTTCCAAGACTAATGTGGCCTTTTTTGAAATATCCCTATGCAGAAAGTTATCTTGAATTTGATTTAAAGTTTAAGTTTTAACGTATTTTACAAGTTACTTCTCTTTTAGTTTAATTTGGTAACTGTTCACCTTTTGCATAATAATTCAGGATTTATGGAACAAACTAGCGTACTTATTTCTCTTCCCGATCTGCTTCTTTGGTAGTTAAGACCAGTAAATTACAATTTACAAACATAAATTGAATGTTAGTGGTCGTTCGATAGTCGTCTGATAGTCGATTTCGCGTCGTTTTAGATAATTATATTAATTAGTTCAAAATTTGGTAAGAAATACCCACCAACCAAAGGGGTGTTTTTTAGTCGGAGCGGTTTAGTTCACGACAACAGGTCATTTGGATCCAGCTTAGCAGGTTATTGCACTGAATCTGAATTAGTGCAATACCAGATCGTGGGGTACGATGTTTATATTGAGCTCCATTAGATACCAATTGATAAAAAGACGACTCACAATATGCAAGTCTACGATACACATTTTCATAATGAGATTGAACTTTTCTGCAAAAATGGTATGACTAGAAAATAATGAAATAAATCATTCATTGAAACCCTTAATGCATTGTAAATTAAACACCACCCATATTGGTTATCTGAAATTATACCCATGGGGTTTTATGCGCTCTAGTAATGTCAGTGGATTTCTTTTCAAATGAGTTAAGCATTCGAAGCCCAAATGGCATTGGTAGAATTATTGGCACTGATTTGTCAATGTTCGATAAGTTTCTTAAGTAACCTAATTTATCAGTCATTCAGTGAAAAAGTTAATTTAGAAAGTTTCAGAAAAGGTTATAAACCTAATGAGTATTTAAGGAAGGTTTTGAAACTTTATAATCTATAATTATCAGAAAGCTCGACCCAAAAGTTTATTATTAGACGGACGATTTTTTTGTGAGAATATCACATTCCAAAAAAAAATTATTTTAATATTTATCGAGTTTTGCAATCGTAAAGTAAATGATATAAAAGCCCATAGGGAATATAAAGTCACGTACTTATTTGAGCACGAATAAGGCAACCTGAGTCCATACGAGGAGGAGAAAGAGTAATATTTCAAAGAAATTTAAACTGAGTAATTTAACTGCATCATTAATACAATTATTACTTTTTCAAGGTTGATTCTGAACCACCAGCCATCGAATTCCGTTGGAGCTTCAACAGCACACCGGGTATCTCCAGAGATCTGACCAAACACGCCAAACAGGAGAGTGGTATCAGTGTACTAACCTACGTTCCTCATGAAGCTGCTGATTATGGTACTCTTCAGTGTTGGGGTCGCAACGATATCGGTTGGCAAAGGATATCTTGTACCTACCATGTGGTACCTGCTGGTAGACCGGATCCACCGCAAGCCTGTGGCTTGATGAACGTTACACACCATTCGGTGGTCGTGTCGTGTCAAAAAGGATTTGATGGAGGTGAGAATTATTTGTTTTGTAAATTATTGAAGACGTCGCAAATGATATACTAATTGATGACAAAACGAGATTCATTACTCATTATATTATGTATGGGGTTTTGTATTTATATATATGCAATTACCTTCAGAAAATGAAACCAATGTTGCGTTATCTATGTACCAACACCCCAAATATTGCCTTTATCTTGATATAAAATAGCCGATGTAATCTCTCTAAGCTAAAATGGTGTAAAAACTCTTTAAAATTCACGAACCGTTACTGGTTGAAAATTTGAATGTACCTAAGTGACAATATTCTTATATTATGATATGACTAACTTGATAATAAACGGTTTAATTATCCGTGAACATACAAACTTCCTACACACATTAGTAATAAATTTAATTCAGAGATATAAATCAATAGTTTCCCTATTTATTAGGAAATATCCCTGGCAATTTATCATTCTATGTATTTCCAACCAACTTGTCTTTCTTTGAAATATTATTTTAATGAGAATTTCGATATAGACATTTCCTCTTAAGGATAAGTTAATTAACAAATAAATTCTTTGTTATTATTATGTATGTGTATATTCGTAAAACTTGACAGAACCCATGTCTATTACATGAATTCGATTTGCATCTAATTTAGGTAGAGAATGCCAAACGCGCACAGGCGATATTCACAAGAGGTTGTTAAAACTTTTAGTTTGGATTAAGGTACGTGCCTAAGAATATAATCTTGAACACCGGGCAACATTGTACTACTGAGTGCAAATTGTTAATTTAAAATGGGAGAAAAATGAGATGCTTTATACAAGTAATCTTTCATTTAACTTTTATACAGTTCTTGTATGTTTTTTTTTTAAATCAATTTAGAATTTCTCTATTGTTTTATAGTCTGACAGCAAATTGATAAATTGTGTGTAATTTATCAAACGCAAATTGCCATTTTTTAGATGAAAGAAAATAACGAAACATGACATTAAATTTGAATGATGCTTTCACCTACATAATGCAGCAAAGTGAGATGGCGCTTTTGAGGAAATTGTCTTGTATATCGTTATCTTGTATGTTTGAAAATTTGTTCTCATTTTAGACGCAATGGAAATAAATAGGGACTATAGAGTTTTATTTGATAAACTTTTTTTTTCCATGCGGTTAAAGTTTGGGTTAGTTTGGTTTACCGGGATGAACTTGAAATAAGTGAAGCCAAAAAAAAAAAATCCTTAAATTTTCAAGTAGCTGTGATGACTCAAAGTATTTTTCAGGAATCTTTAAACGCGATTTTACAGGAATTTATGATTTTCTCAGGTATCAATGAGTAAAAAAAAATCGTAACTTTGGTTGCGAGACTCAAATCAATGCCAAATTTGTTTTCTATCATGGAAAGACCCTAATTTATAAGTGCTGAAAGTTTCAAGTAGATGTGATGGCTCAAAGTATTTTTCAGGAACCTTCAAAGTTGATTTTACAGGAATTTTATGACTTTTTCAGGTATTAATGAGTTAAAATAATCGTGACTTCAGTTGTAAGCTTTATGTCAACTTCCAACTTATTTTGTATCATGAAAAAACTCTATTTATTAAATTCTGAATGTTTCGAATTGCTGTGATGGCTCAAAGTATTTTTCAGGAACCTTCAAAGATGATTTAACAGGAATTTTATGATTTTCTCAGATATCAATGAGTAAAAAAAATTGTAACTTTGATTGTGGGTTTCACATCAACTTTCAAATTATTTTGTATCATGAAAATCCTCGAATTAATAAATCCTGAAAGTTTCAAGTAGCTGTGATGGCTCAGAGTATTTTTCAAAAACCTTCAGAGGTGATTTTACAGGAATTTTATGATTTTCTCAGGTATCAATAAGTGAAATAATCGGTAACTTTGGTTGTAATTTTCATATCAACTTGCAATTTGTTTTCTATTTTTAAAAAAATCTAATTAATAAATCATGAAAGTTTCCAGTAACTTTTGTAGCTCAAAGTATTTTTCAGGAACCTTCAAAGATAATTTAGGTAACAGGAATTTTATAATTTTCTCAGGTATCAATGAGTAAAAAAAATCGTAACTTTGATTATGAGTTTCATATCAGCTTCCAACTTATTTTGTATCATGAAAACCCCTCTAATTAATAAATCTTAGAAGCTTCAAGTAGCTGTGATTGCTGAAAGTAATTTCCAAGAACCTTCGGAGGTGATTTTACAGGAATTTTATGATTTTCTCAGGAATCAATAAGTAAAAAAAAAAAATGAAACTTCAGTTCTGAGTTTCATATCAGCGCTAAATTTGTTTTCTATTATGAAAATCCATAATAAAAAAAACAAGGACAGAGAAGAAGAGAATAAAAAAAAAATAAAGAAATCCATAGCAGCTAGTCCTCAAAGATTGAGCGATCTGGTGTAACGATCGCTCTACTGGTGGCGATGGTATGGACATCCGCAATGGCGGCACGGTCTATATGCCCGGGAATACTGGTAGCTGACGGACCTCTCGGTTGGTGGAGCGGTTACGGGTTGGAGGGGAGGAGATACCCTCCTATCCTGACAACGGCACTCTCGGGATAATACACCCACGCGTCCGCATTGGGAGCAAAATTTTATCGGAATGCCGTTGCAAAAATCGCGGTGGTGACCGCGTTTGCCGCAGTTCCAGCATCTGATTCGACCCCTGATCTCCACTGTAACAAGCTACCTGGTGCACGTGGGCCCTCAACCACAATAATCCTGAGGGTGGCGCCCGAGATAACCGTTAAAGCAAGAAAAGGAAAAACCGAAAGGGCGCTACAAAATTGGCCCTGGAACGGTAAATGCAGTAATCGGTTTACTTTCTTCTGACAGCGGTATTTGCCAATAGCCTTGTTTTAAATCAATGCTGGAAATGTAACGGGCTCTCCTTAGTTTATCCAGGATGGAGTTGATAAAGGGTAGCCGATACGCGTCTTTTCGACTTACCGCATTTATTTTTTGGAAGTCAATACAAAAACGGTATTTTCCATCCTTCTTCTTCACGATCACTACGGGAGAACTTCAAGGACTGTTCGATGGTTCAATAATTCCGTCTTCCAACATTTTATTAACTTCGGTGTCTACAATTGCCTGCATTCGTGGATTTTGAGGTTTGATCGGTTCCGGATTGAGCAAATGTACAAAGTGTTCCACTAAAGGAGTGGTGCCTTTAATGCGGTCAAACTTTGGCAGCTCTCGGTCCAGGAATTTCTGCAAAAGCATCTCTTCAGTGGATGTCAATTCTAGGTTCGGGCAGTGGCGGCTCCTATATTAGAAATGTGGGGGTTGCAATTCCAATTTCAGCTTTATCGGATAATGATCGACCACAGAATGGCTCTGCAATTAAACTTTAAACATTTTTTTGTCACGCACCACACCACAAACTAAAATAAAATATTTTAAAACAAACCTAATCTGCGATGCGCGCAAAAAAGTGAAGAAAGTTTGCAATTCGCCTGCAACCTGCTGGAGCTTATGGGACAGAATTGGAATCAACGCGTAGATAGGCACCACATATGCGACGTCGTATAAGCCGATCGGGTTGCATTCGAGCTGCAATCCGGCGCGGCAGCGAGTCAGTTATTGCCATTTTGGCGAAGGTAATAAAATTATATTGATAAATTTATTGCGGGAAAGCTCCTCGCGTATTATGTAGGTACCAAATTTTGGTATAATTTATTTTTAAAATATAATTAGGTACTAAAATATTAGTTCTTTTTTGTTTTATTGTTTTCAACTTTTGTTTTGGGGGTTGCGCAAACCTGCAAACCTTAGGAAGAGCCGCCACTGGGTTCGGGGGGGCCATCTATCGGACCAATGGGACTACATAAGTTAGGAGGGGGCAAAAGACGGTTTTGTATGTAAACGTTTCCACTGCCCAGGTCCAGATGAAACTGGTGCCGGTTTAAGATATCCATCCCCAGGATAATATCGGATATGACAAGTTTGGAAAGTAGTTTATAGTTTCGGTCAAGGCAAAATCTCCAAGCTGAAACGGTATCTGATAAGCTTCAGAGATGGCGATTACACCACCGTGGGCCACTCTGGCGCTTCTAACCGTGGGTTGTACTTTGGGGTAGTTGTTTAGACGGCATATGTTTGCAGCGAGGTCTCCCACGTATGAGTTAGCGGCTCCGGTTTCGACTAAGGCCAAGAACGGGATCTCTTCGATGAAAACGCACACATGCGGTCTAGAATCTGCCGGACGAATCAGGTTTAGATTTTGCTGAGAGTCTGGCTTACTCGAGGTTTTCCGTGTAAGATTCTGGGTTGACCTCGGACTAGGACAGCACCGGGTTAGTTTCCCGGACGATTACGTTTGCAGTTAGTCTCTTGACATTATGCCAGTTTTCCCGCAACGAGAGCAAATAATTTGGCCGTACCTCGGCATTCTGTTCTGCTGTGTCCCACTTCTCCACAACTCAAGCAAACCATAGCGTCGGATCGATTTTCGGTTCTGTAATTCTATTGTCTTGCCTCCGTCCACATAGGCCTTTCCATTCGTTGGTAAACTTTGGTTTTGCTGTCCGATTCTGGATGGGTTTTGAGTCACCGAAATGCCGGCTGGTGGACGGTGCGTACTCGTGGATATTGACGGAATTGCGGTCTTCAATTCTTCTAATAAGTTTTCGACTTCTCTTATCGTGCGGGAGAGTGAAACCACATGGGTAACGTCGCTTTTCCGAATATGTTGTCGATATTCGGATAACATATTCCTAAAGAGCGACTGTAGCTCTTGTTCTGGGGTTATGCTGCCATGCCTCCGGATGAGGGTTTGTAAATCAGTAATATACCGGTGTGTCGGCTCGGTAGGTTGTTGCAAACGGCGGCTGATTTCAATTTCTAGGTCGGCAGCATAATTAATTGGAAAATAGAAACTTCGAAAATCTTGCAGAAATTCGCTTCAAGTATTCCAATTCCAATGCGGTTGTTGCGATACCAAAGGGAAGCCTCTCCCTAAAACAATTCGGGCGTATGTGGTAATAGTTGATCTATTATAATCCCCT